GAGAGGTCCTGGGGCAGGCCTTGACTCAGAGGAGGGTGTTTGTGGAGAGATACCGATGAGTGCGGTAGAAAGGTCTAAGACTAGCTGTGGTAAGGGATCCACCACCAGGTTTCAAGTCATCAAGCATCCTCGGCTAAATTTTAATAAATAGATGCTTACTGCAAATGTCTTCTACAGCAGGGCAGCACCAAGAAATGGGAACCGTGACCAAGCTGACTGCCTGTCAGGATTTCACTCAGCTCAGCACCTTCTAACAGAGAAGGTGTTTAATAAATGAGAGTGGGATTGAGTTTAAATTGATGTCATCCAGCTACCTGTCTTCTCAATAATCTGGGGAGTTCATGTTAGCACACGTATGTTGGGGGTGGAGGGAGAGGGGCTAGGAGGGACAGAGAGAGATCAGTGAATTGCTGGAGTGTTGGAGTTTTAGAGAGTTGGAGAGATGTCGCTTCAATGACCCCTACAAACCAGTGGAGAATCTGGTACTCTGTACTCTGCGATAGGGTGTGGGACATTGGGAGTGATCAATCGCCCAGGTTTTCCAGAACTGTCCAGATTGTAGCACTGAAATCTCATGTCTTGGAAGACCCCTCCGTCCTGGGCAAATTGGGACAGTTGGTCACCTGCAAAACAGTAAGTAAGTAGGTCCTTCTTACTAACACAGGACTTTCTGCTTCACTCTCTGCATCTCTCCCACCCTGCCCCAGCCCTGTGTCTAGAGCCCCAGATCACAGCGATGGGCTCGGCTCCACCTCTAGGGTGCACATCCCCTCTGCTGTCTGACTTGACACTCCAGGACCCAGAGAACATCATGTCAGGAAGAGGAAGCGAAAGGAGGGGCTGTGGAGAGAAGGGGAGAAAAGCAGAGGAACTATTGTCTGAGCGAGCTAACTTTGTACAAGGTTGGAAAAACAGGCTCCTTTCAAACCGGTTCAGACAGGCAGAGAGCATTAGGTTTCTGCTCTGAGCTCCTTTTCGAAGGGAAATTGGAGAAATCAGTTTCAAGTCCTTTCCAACTCTAAGGTGCTGTGGTTTGTCTCCAAGTCTTTTCTCCCGCAAATCAGCTCAAGAATCCTTCATCCTTCAAGCTTCTTCCTCTCTCCATTAATGACCTTGATTTACAGAATGCTGGTCCCTTTGGCTGTGCTCAGGAGTAGTCAAAAGGCCAGTGGACTAGAGAAAAATGACCTTCAGGATCCATTCGCAAACCAAGCAGACATGACTTTGGTTATGTCCATCTGGGATTATTCATGGCACTGCTTTCTATTTACCTCCAGTGTGGGATGCTCTGCAGAGCGCAACTCTTACCCTCCAGGAATATCCTTAACCAAGATGGCGGGAGATTATGGTGCATGTGGGCTCAGCTCTCTCAGGGCTCTCGGGGTACACGTTCTTTAACATAAAGCACCAGCTCTTTGAAATTTCTCCCCGCCAGGACCCTCACATGATTCCACACTGTCTGCAGAGAGAAGGGAACTGTCTTCACCTACTCCACCATCTTCCTCTCATTAATCTCTGCTCCCAAGTCAAACCTTCCCCTACAATCACCTGGACTGCTCACTGCCTCTCGGATGCACTGTGCACCTGTCCAGTCTGGCCCACCTTCCATTTCCCAACCCCCACCTCAGAAAGCCCAATGTATTTTAAAGCTGAAGTTTTTTTTTTTAATTTAATTAATTAATTAATTAATTTATTTTTCCCCCCAAACCCCAGTAGACAGTTGTATGTCATAGCTGCACATCCTTCTAGTTGCTGTATGTGGGACGCGGCCTCAGCATGGCCGGAGAAGCGGTGCGTCGGTGTGCGCCTGGGATCCGAACCCGGGCCGCCAGCAGCGGAGCGCATGCACTTAACCGCTAAGCCACAGGGCCGGCCCAACCCCAATGTATTTTATTCTGATTTTTTTAAAGAAATCAGAACTAAAATAACAGCTTGTCTGAATCAGTCATTTAAGCACATAATCCAATACAGGCATGTGGAGTTAAACTACAGCAACAACAGCAAAGCAACTTTCACATGCTTATATTTTGTCTCCTCCAGTTCAATATCAATTTCTTCTAGGGGAAAGAGAGTGCCTTAGATGTCTCTCTCTCAGTGTCTAGTGTAGTGCAGAACACACAGGAGGCACTCAATTTTATAAGTCATGTGCCGTGTAATGATGTTTCGGTCAATGACAGACTGCATATGTGATGGTGGTCCCGTAAGATTTGTACCATATAGCCTAGGTGTATAGTAAGCTTACCATCTAGGTTTGTGTAAGTTCACTCTGTGATGTTCATACAATGACAAAATTGCCTAACGACATACTTTTCAGAACGTATCCCTGTCGTTAAGTGACTCATGACTGTACTTATTGAATGAATCCATTTCTTCAGGCCTTGGGACACTCATTAGGCCAATGCACTCAAAGACTGGGGTGTGGAGTATGAAGACTAATTAAAGGGTAGCCAACAGTGAAGATTGGAACTGTCAGAGGCCAAGGACAATTCCCTGCAATTAAATTCCCTAGGAACCACTTAGGAGGAGCATCTGTGTGTGCCACGGCTGTTGGGAAATTCCCCTCTGCCTCCTCCTCTTCCTTCTGCGTCGCCACCACCCACCACCACTGCGGCCATCATCACCATCTTCACCATCACTAGCCCCTTCCTGACCAGCCCCCAGCACAGGGCCTGGCACACAGAGGCACTCACTGGGTGTTTGTGGAATGAATACAAGGGATGCCCGGAGCCCTGGCCCAGCCCCGGGTCTCCCTGGCCGTCACTTCTGAGTGTGGATGAGCTCAGTTCATTCTGCAGCATTTTCCTGGACATCTGAAACCCTGCTTTTATTTTCCCTCAGTCTTCTCCGGTCTTGAAGCTCCAGCCTCGTGCCTTTCCTGCTCTGTAAATGCTCTTTTGTTGACGTCTCCGGTAAGAGGTCCAGCTCCCCTGGCAGTTTGGGGCTCACACTCACCAGGCAGCAGAGGTACGAGCTCGGCCCAGGAGAGTCAGGTCTCCAGAACCATGCTTCTTTCCCCTTGGAGCCCCTCAGTGAAGGCCTGGCTCCTGGAGATTCTAGAATAAAATAGCCCGGCATGAAAGGGAGGCTTTTCTTCCCTCTGCCCATCCCCATCTTGGCTGACTTTCTCTCGGAACCCCAGCGTGACGTATAATCTAGAGCAACCACTTTACATAAGCCCCCAGGTCAGGGGCAACCTCTCCTTCTCGTGTCATCAACTCATCTCCACGACATAAAAGAAACATGAGCAAGAGGGCCTCGGAGCCCGTGGCCGCCACGCCCGCCTCACGCATCGGAAAGTCCTGGCATCTTCGGCTCTAACTCTCATCTCTGTCGTGTAAGATGATGGTTAGGAACCTGGACTTTGAGACCAGACACACCTGGATTCCAGTCCTAGCTCTGACTTACTAGCTGAGTGACCTTGGGCAAGCATCTCTAAGCCTCAGTTTCTTCAACTACAAAGTGAAGTTAGTAACGTGAGGGTTAAATTAGAAATCCTTGTAGTGCTTGGCACACATGAAGTGAAGAATCAACGTTAACTCCTCTCGTTATTTACTGTCACCATTACTATTGCTGCCACCATTGCTACTCCTACTTCAGGTAATACTTGCAATCTGGCTTAGAAAACCACAAGAAACCTCTTCAGTGATTGTCCCCCCATGCCCTAGGGCTCGGCCCTGCCCAGAAGGTTGGGAGACAGGGTCCCGGAGAAGGAGCTTCCACTGCTGCCTCAGGAACTGCGAGGAGAACAGTGTGTAAGGGGAAGGCCCTCCGAGACAGCGTTGCAGGCCTGTGCTTCACCCTGCTGCCCAGCTCACAGTCTCCCCCTTTCTCCTCCCCATCAGCGAGGACATTTATCTACCACCCTCTGGCTGATCCAAACGGGTCAAGGCTCCCCAGTTTAGTTACAGAAAGTCACCAGAGTCCCACATTAGGGCAGCTACCAGAAGTCTGTTTTTGGAATAATTTTTAACATTTCACCCTGCCGGGACTACCTGAGCTATAAAGGGCTGGTCTCTCCTGCCCTAAAATTGAGTGGCTTCATGAAGTGATCAGGAAAGAGGCAGAACAGCCCACTCTGGACCCAGGAGTGAAACTCAGGGGCTTCTGCCTCTTGGACGCTGGGCATGGAGTGTCTCCCCAGGGAGCGCAGGGCAGACTTTCTCCCCAGGGAGAGCAGAGCCCATGTTCGAGCTCCTAAGGCTGCCTCACGGCCTGATCTCCTAGGATGGGGCAGGTAACCTTGTCCAGGAGGAAAAATTCAGCTGCAGGAACTGCCAGTTGCCTGCAAAGCTTCTCACTGTTGAAAAGGCAAGATCAAGGTCACCACCACCCAGCCCCTGCCCAGTGCGGAAAGCTCCAGACACTACCCCTGCTGGGGGTCCCCTGGGGTCCGTTCCACTGCTGGACAGCTTTGGTCCTTAGAGGGACCCAAAGAGTGACCCCTGGAACTTCTTTCTAGGACCCAGATCTTTGAAGACACCCCTCACGTCCTTTCAGAGTCTCCTCTTCTCCGGCATGAACACCCCAGCTCCTCCGCAAGAGCAGATATTGGGGAGATTGGTTCTCCTGGGAGGAAACCTGAGGTTTTCGGATGAGCCCCCAGAGCCAGGCATTGCCCCTGCTCCTTGCTGATAGATGAGCAAGAAGGAGGCACCCTGGAAAAATAAAGCGAGGAGATCGCTGAAGGGGATAGCTCTCCAGGTCCCTAATTAGCAGCCAGATAAACGCCCGATCAGACCACTACGGTCTGCAAGGGCAGCATATTCCATCACTATCAGAAACGCTTTGTTGCTGCAAAGGGCTTGGAGATCTCTGTTCTATGAATCGCCCATGGCCCCCGGCCCTTCAGCGCGAGGAAAAAAGACAGCAGAGAGACGCCCTTTTCCGGTGTGCTGGGCTGGACAGGATAAAAGGAGGCAGCCCTCTGGGGCCCCATCAGAGTGTTCTCTACCCATTGGTGACTGCTTTTCTCCAGCTCTGTCAACTCCACCTTTCCCACCATGAGTCGGCAACTGAACATCAAGTCTGGTGGTGACAAGGGTGGCTTCAGTGGGCACTCGGCAGTGGTGCTGAGGAAGGCTGTGGGGAGTGCAGCTTCTTACCGTGCAGCTGGCAAAGGACCTGGGGCCGGCTTTGGCAGTTGGAGCCTCTATAGTCTGGGAGGGAATCGGGGTATTTCCTTCAACATGGCTGGTGGCGGTGTCTGGACTGGAGGTTACAGCTTCCGGCCTGGCTCTGGGTACAGAGGGGGCCGGGCCACTGGCTTTGCTGGCAGCGTCTTTGGCAGCGTGGCCTTGGGGCCCGTGTGTCCGTCCGTGTGCCCACCTGGGGGCATCCACCAGATCACTGTCAACAAGAGCCTCCTGGCCCCCCTCAATGTGGAGCTGGACACCGAGATCCAGAGAGTGCGCACCCAGGAGAGGGAGCAGATCAAGGCTCTGAATAACAAGTTCGCCTCCTTCATTGACAAGGTAGGTCTCACGGGAGGAGGATAAGACAGTCCAGTGAGACATGAACAATTCCCTGCTGTTTGGGAGTGGACAGGGCATTGTGGACGGAAAGGTTGCAGCTGGACCTCAGGGAAGGCTCCTGCTCCTAACAGAGAAGACCAGACCTGTGAGCTAGGGAGCACAAAAGGATAAGTGAATGTGTTGCTTGCTTTGGGGGTTTTACAGTGAAGGGTGGGAAACTGGGTAAAGGGTAGCCTACCCTGAGAAGGAAGGGTTTCTGGATGGATCTCGGCTCTTTAAAGAAGATGAAGGGCTGATAGAATCAGCACTGTTCAGAGGGAAGGGCTCCTAGTACAGAGGAAACACTCAGCTGAGACATAAGGAAGAGCATCTTCTGGGTGCTGGGCCAGGCCGCAGAAGAAAGCTGTGGAATCTCCTTCTTCAGTGAGTTTTCAGTGATCAGTTTTGTCCAGAAGGCTCTGTAGTGAGCATTTGCAAAGGGTCTAGTTTGCACGGAATTCCATGAGTGGAGGGTCAGACTTGAGCCAAATGACTTTAGAAAAATCTATATAACCCGGGGAATTAATGGTGTACATCCACAGGACGTGATAGCACCCATTGTGGTTCCAGGTGCGCTTCCTGGAGCAGCAGAACCAGGTGCTGGAGACCAAGTGGGAGCTGCTGCAGCAGCTGGACCTGAACAACTGCAGGAACAACCTGGAGCCCGTCCTCGAGGGCCACATCAGCAACCTGCGGAAGCAGCTGGAGACGCTGTCCGGGGACAGGGTGAGGCTGGACTCGGAGCTGAGGAGCGTGCGGGACGTGGTGGAGGACTACAAGAAGAGGTGAGCAGGCCCCACTGGAGGTCATGGGTCATGGTCTGGGCTCGCCCAATTTCTGTGCCACTTTTTAGGAGGGGAGGGAGTGAGCACCAGGGTCAGGGGCTCACACCCCTCCTCTGGTTGTGGAGGAAGGACCTACATTGTTGGATGAGAACTTCCTACCTGGTGGACAGGAAGGACTTCCTATGCTCACTGATCCACTGACTGGTTCAGTGGCTGGTTTGGGGAGCCTAATAGGCACCTGGATATTTTCCTAGGATCCAACGCATGGAACGCAAATGAGGTAACTCAGGGACGTAGTACTGCCACCACCTACAGAGCTCGCCCCTAGGAGTTCCTGCGGGGACTCTGCATCCCGAGAACTTGCCCGGCCAGCAGGAAGATGAGGTTACTTGGCTGAGGGGACTGAGGGCTCTGCTATCTTCTCCCCTTGCCCAGGTATGAGGTGGAGATTAATCGGCGCTCAGCAGCTGAGAACGAGTTTGTGGTGCTCAAGAAGGTAGGGGAGAGAAGAGCCTATTGCCTCCGGAATCTCTTACACCCCCATCCTAGCCACCTCTGCTCAGGACTCCAGCCCAGGCCTCCTGGGGAGGGGCTGGTGCCTGAATGGGGGTGGAGTCATAGTTCTGGCCTCTAGTAGGTTGGAGAGGCAGGACATACACCCAGGAAATGGACAGAGACAGACAGGAGAGAATGCTGGTCTGGGAACTGGGAAACTCTGGTCTAGCTTGGCCTCCCTGTGTGACTTAAGAAAACTTACTCTACCTCTCTGGGCTTTGTTTTCTCCAGGTGTAACAGAGGAAGAGCAGGCCCTATTCTCCTTTCCCTACTCCCAAAGATTCAGTGAGTCTGAGAGAAACACAATACTGAATTTATTCATCAATATGAATATCAATATACTTCCCCTCGTGGGCAAAAAATAGGAAGTCAGATGGCTTTGGGGGCAGGGACAGGGCAGCTGATGGGTTGAGAGTGGTATTGACCGATGGCCCTGGGTGCCTCTCGGCAGGACACAGATGCAGCCTACATGGTCAAGGTGGAGCTCCAGGCCAAAGTGGACTCTCTGGACAAAGACATCAAGTTCCTCAAGTGCTTGTATGATGCGGTGAGGACACGCCCGCCCATCTCCCATCGCCCGCTTTCCAGCTGAGGGCCTCACCTGGCTCTGCCAGGGAGATGCCAATGGGAGGGATCTAGGATAAACAGAATGAAGGATGTTTTCATGGAAAGGTGCAAAACCCTGCACTAGGACACCATGGAAGTGTAGGATTGTGGTCCCCGGGGGCCACACACACAGGAGACAACCCCATCTGGGCCACCATAGTGACCTTGTCTGCAGAGAAAAAATGACCCCATCAGGTCCTACTAAAGCACAGGTTTTCGATTCTGTGAGTTGAGGAAATACCCCCCACTGCCCGCTCCCCGGGTGAGGCGCATCCTGCTGCAGTGAGCCTTCCTCCTCAGCTCCAACAGACAGAGCGCCAGCAGGCACTTTTTCCCTGTACTTTGGTCCATTCTGCTGGGGGCCACGGGCCCAGAAGTTTGACGGTCAGAGGAGGCAGGAGAAGGGATCTTGACTGTGTCCTCATCTCTCAACTCAGGAGATGGCTCAGATTCAGACTCACGCCAGCGAGACCTCCGTCATCCTGTCCATGGACAACAGCCGGGACCTGGACCTGGGCAGCATCATCGCCGAGGTGCACGCCCAGTACGAGGAGATCACGCTAAAGAGCAAGGCTGAGGCCGAGGCCCTGTACCAGACCAAGGTGGGCAACTCCTCCACCAGCCCCTCCTCTCCTGGGAAGGAACACCTCCACCTGTGGATGCGAGAGATACCTTTGCAGATGTCCTGCCTGAAAGAATGGTTGTAACCAATGTAATGACATTCTGCTCAAAAAGAATTCTCAGCAGAGACTGTTCTCAAAGATAAATCATAAAACTGATGTGGACGGGTGTCTCCAACAGAGAGGGGCAAGCAGTCCTTGGATGGAGGAAAGAAGCGAGGTGTTCCTGCTATAAAACAAACGTATTTCCAGGGATTGGGGCTGAAGGAGAGTAACAAATATGGAAGAGAGGAGCAATGGGGGCCCCGGGTGGGGCAGGGAGTGAAGAAGAGGAAGCCGTGAGCTCTTTTCTGACCAGTGTGGGAGGACTTCCAAGAGGAAGAGGTGGAAATCTAGGAGCCCTCTGGGTAATGGGAGTTATGCTTTGGAGTAGAGCCCTTCGGGACTGTCACTGAGAAAACCCTTTACCTGGGCGCTCTCCAGGGCTCACACCAGCCCTGCTCTGGCTCTCCTTTTCATGTTTGTTAAATCTTACCAATGACAGGGATCACAGGTTCCTTGTTCCCTGTCCATGGCCCTGTCATCCCCTCTTCTCTGGAGGACTGGGTGAGGGGAGAGGGGAAGATCTGAGCTACAAGTCCTGAGCCAACGATCCCACCACCCCCCAGGGTACATGTGGCCCTTGGCTTCCCTGGTGCCCCGCCCGTCACCGAGGAAGGATTGCCCGAGACCGTATGTTCCATGGGGGCAGGGACCTCAGCCATCCTGGTTCACTGCTGTGTTCCCAGTACTTGGAGCAGGGCCTGGCTTTTAAAAGCTGCCTCTATAAAGAGGTGCTAAGTGAGCAGAGAGGGTCAGAGCTCATCCTACATTTCGGAAGTGCTCAATAAACGTGACGGGTATCTTTCCTTCATCCAGCCCAGGAAAGACTGCAGGCAGGGCGCCGAGAAAGGAGGATAGGCCAGCAAATAGGTTCTGCTTAGAGAAGCGGGTGGACTTCTGGGTCAGAACCACCACCAAGCAGCAGGAAGGATGCCCAGGTCCTGGCTCCATCACCTCTTGCTCTGGAGCCACCTCCCCTGGCTCACTCCAGTGGTGGAAGAGGTTGCTCAGGACACTTCCCTACCTCGGATGGGGGTTGGGGTGGGCAGTCTTGCCTCATGACTAACTTCCTGTCTCTGGGAAACCAGATCCAGGAGCTGCAGCTGGCAGCCGGCCAGCACGGTGACGACCTCAAACACACCAAGAACGAGATGTCAGAGCTGAACCGGCTCGTCCAGAGGCTCCGGTGTGAGACTGTGAACGTGAAGACGCAGGTGGGGAGCAACCCCGCAAAGAACACCGGGTTCAATTTCACCCTCTGTGACGGAGAAACTGGAACCCCTTTAGTAAAAAGCAAATCTCCCCTCCCCCAGCCTGGGAGCCCCTTGGCCATCCACAGTCCCCCTTTTCCACCCTGCCTCGAGACCACTGCAGTCAGAGCTGGCACCTGCTCAGAACTGGGGGGCACCGTGAGCTTATTTCATCCAACTCCCACAGTTTAGATAAGGAATCTGCTGGAGAGGGGAAGCGACTTGCCCAGGGTCCCCAGCTGGTTATTAACAGAGCCAGGATTAGAACCCAGGGTTCCTTTTTTTTTCCCCCTCTTTCTCAGACTTTTTCTGTGTGCAAGAAAACTGCCCCACATCCCCTTCAGGTGTGCCCCTCTGAGGGCAGGTCCCATACCTCCTCCTCCCACTGGACACACAGCACACACGGGGTGCATGGGGCTTGCATCTGGGCCCCTTTGTGGCCACGTTAGGTTCCTGCCCTCAGGGTGGGGCATGGGCCTGGTGACCGAGTGAGGATGATAGCAGATGAAGCCCTCCTGTGTCCCCTGCCCTGCGCCACTGTGCCATTTCCATTTCACCTGGGGATCCTGTCTTATCTGAAAGCAGCAAAACTTAAACGCCATGTCAGTGGGGAGATGATTTAAGGGGGTGGGGAATCCTTCCCATGTCCTCCCCCAAGAACCAGGTCAACTCTGCTGTGATAGAATTGCCAAACTGAAGGATCAGAGACTGCTCTCCTCCCTGTGCCCCACAACCTTCCAAGCCAGGCAAAGTGGGGAACACAGGGACAGCTTTCTGACTCAGTGTATGGCTGATTCGCAGACTCCACGAGGACCATTTCTCCACCTCTTAGTATGTGGCATCAGAGTGCTGCTGGATGTTCATCAGAGCCCAGTTTCTGAGGTTGTGGGTATAATTTCAGGCCCTTAACCTCCTGCTCTAAGAGAAGTCACCCTTACCCGTTCAGGGCAGACCCTCCCCGCAGAGTGCTGGAATAGTCCAGAAACACTCATTCTTGGAAGGGTAGCCACGGGAGACATCCTGCAGGCGGGAATCCTCTCACGGTGGTGCCTTTGGCACCTCTGTGATCCTTAAGGCATCCTGGCTGGGGCCTCAGCGTGATCCTCCTGGACCTGGCATCTTTGGAGCCTGTAGCCATTTGTGGCTTCCAAGCCTAAGCACTAGACAACTTTGCAAACATCAGAGTTTCTCCCTGTATTCCTGAAATGCAACTCTTCCAACAGCTTTTCACAAGTCCTTTAAATACCCGCCTGCAATAGAAAGTAGAGAAGACACGGGTTTAGGTGCTGGCTCTTCAGCTGTTACCTGCTGTCACCTTGGGCCTCATCTGTCAAGTGAGGGGCTTGTGCTACCTACCCTGTAAGATCTAGAAATTATTTTGCATTCTGCTGATCTCCCTGTTCTTCGTCTTTCAGTGTGCCAACCTGGAGACGGCCATCGCCGATGCCGAGCAGCGGGGGGGACAATGCCCTGAAGGACACCCAGACCAAGCTGGATGAGCTGGAGGCCGCCCTGCACCAGGCCAAGGAGGAGCTGGCCCGGATGCTGCGCGAGTACCAGGAGCTCATGAGCCTGAAGCTGGCCCTGGACGTGGAGATCGCCACCTACCGCAAGCTGCTGGAGGGCGAGGAGTGCCGGTGAGGGGGTGGAGGGGAACGCCGGGGTGCCAAGGGAGAAGGGGCTGTGGGTGGCTCCCCACCGGGCTGGGGGCCATTTGGGAGGTGGAAGATGAAAGCAGCGCTGGTGACATGAGCGTGGAAGACGGTAGTCTGATGAGCTCACCTGTAGCTTCCTGCGAGGGGAGGTCAGATGTGAACCGTGAAGCACAGGTGGTTGGGTGGTGCCGTGACAAGAGCCAGTGGGAGCAGACAGACCTGGGTTTAATTACCGGCTTTACCACACACTAGCTGGATGGTCCTTGTAAACCATTTAACGTCTCTATTTTCTCGTCTATAAAATGGGGATTATGATCTCCACGTTATGGGTTGTTATAAGGATGAATTAAAATGATATACTTATAAAAGCAGGAGCCCATTAAGGCTTAGCAGAATCTAGACGCTTTCTTGAGGTTTTACCCTTCTCCAACCCTCTGTCTTACAGGATGTCTGGTGAGAATGCAACCTCTGTGAGCATCTGTGAGTATCCCTGAGAGATGGGTTGGTTGGGGATTCTGGCTGGATGGGAAAGCCGGGGACCCCAGGACAAGGTGGGGACTTCTATTCATTGCCTCTCCCCATCCTGGAGCCTCTGGTACTGTCTTGTGAAGGTTCTCTGGCTTCAAAGGAAACCTATTCCCCTTTTGTCCTATGGAAACTGAAGTCATGCCCACACTATTTCCCTCCTGTCTCTCCCGTGGGGCACTGTCGTCTAGAGAAAAGGTTGAGAATATGGACTTGGGTCCTAAAATCTCCAGGAGGGCAGGGACCAGGTCTGTTCTGTGTGGTCCTCACCTCACACAAAGCCTGGCATGTAATACGGTCTCAGTCCATCTTTGCGCTGCTTCCTGACTGCGAGGGTGCGGTGGGACTCAGAGGGACGGCTCGCGGGCTGACTGACACCGCCGCCCTCCCTCCCCTGCTCTCGGCCCCGCCTCCCCAGCCGTCATCAGCAGCAGCGCAAGCAGCTACGGCTGCCACCCCGGCTCCTCCGCGAGCGCCGACCTCGGGGCCAGCAGCGCGGCGGGCAGCTCCGGCAGCGCCCGAAGCAGACAGACCAGGGCCAAAGGGGCCCGAGTGCGGGACCCTAAGGGCTCCCAAGGCAAGAGCGCCCCAGCTAGCACCCCAGCCAGGAAAGCCACCCGGTAAGCCCCCCACCCCCACTCACCTCTGCACCTGGGAGATGAGATGTCTTTGCCGCCGCCCACCGAAAGATGTCCACCACACCCAACCCTCCACCCATGAGTCCTGGGACTGTCTGTAGCGCACTCGGCCATCGTGGCTTATCTTACTGTCAGGTTTCCTCAGGTCCCATGTGGACTTTGTGATTCTCCTTTTCCCTGCTGTCTTCAGCTTGCAGGAGCCTTTGGGGCACAAGCTGTAATTACCTTCTTGGCCCTGGGAAGCTGTGATCTTCCCTAGAGAGAGAGGAGAGGAGGGAGGGGGAGGGGGAGTAGTTTTGTTCTGTGCTCAGGTCAGGGTAGCAGTTGTCTGGGAGCACCCCCCCCAACCTGCCCCCTCAGAAAGGTCTTTGCAGAACGACTCCATTATCCAGGAGAAAATGTGTGTACTCTCAGGTGCCCAGCTCTACCCATATGCACAAAGCCAAGCGAAGGAGAATTGGAGATCCTCTGCCACCCTGTGTTGCCCACCCACCTCCTTTATTATCAGTAACAGCAATGACCATATGTTAAGCACCTACTACGTGCTCCCCACGTGCATTGCCTCTAATTCTTAGCCATCCTGCAAGGTAGATGCAACCAGCATCTTTGGGACAGAGGAGAAGCCCCATCCTCTGAGAGGCTGCAGAACTTGCCCCCCATCCATCACGCACTAAGTACCAGGGTTGGGATTTGAACCCAGGCCTGGCTGACTCCAGGATCTATGTTCTTTCCATGGCACGTCACTGCCTCTTTAACAATGGGAATATCAAATTCACGGTTGTTCGGATGAGGGCAGCATCACTACGTTGCCTTTTTGTCAAGGACTGTGGGTATGTGGCTTATCTTTGGTCCTCTGTCTGGGTCTGTGTCCTGCAGTAGCTTCTGAGTCTCAGTTCCTGTTGCCATGAGCTGTGTTCAGTGAGGGGAACTTGCTCTGTCTCTGGTAGTACCGCCCAGCCTGAAAGTCGTGGCTCTTGCTGTAAATATTCCTAAGACGCCCAGTCCCTCCTTTGCTTGAGTTAAGGACTCTGAATTTCTGCTGTATATTCAATAAACTGCCCCTAAGTAATGTCAGACGTGCACTCCTGTCAATGTGTTCATATCTCCAACTTGCCCACCCCCCAGTGCTGATTTGCTCCACCCCGCACACGTGCACAAGCCTTTCAGGAGGCTGGAGGCGGCCCAGAGCAGGCTGCTCTGGAGGAAATTTCAGGCTGATGAGAGAGACAGACATACATACAAAGCCATGCACTCGTACAGATCAGGGGAGGACAGCCCAATGCAGCAATGCTGAGACATGACCATAGTGGAGAAGCTAAGCAGGGAAGGCTTCCTGGAGGAGGAGGAGAGATTAATCAAATAACCAGAAAGATGGGCACATAGATTCCTGGAGAGAGAACTTAGACACACCATCTCAGGAGTTTGGGTGCAGGTTTTGTGCTTATTTTGTTGGGGGGTGGGAGGTCTCAGATTTTCTGAAGTTGGTAGTGGGGTTGGATGGGTTTCCAAGTCCCTCAGCTTTGGCCTGTAGAACTTAACCCTCCAGTCGGCTTTCTGATCCGTCTTGTGTTATGATTGTGCTGCAGATGATTCCCCCTACAGCCCTCAAGGCAATGGGGTTGGTGGGGGAGAGGGCTTGCAGGGGTAGGGCCTCCGTTGACCTCCCTGTGCCTTTTGTGTGTTAAGGAGGTCCTCTTCTGTGAGTGCCAAGAGGCAATAAACCTTGGGAAGCACAAGAGCCCAAGAGTCTGGTGGGCTTTCTGCCCAAATGCCTCCCTCTGTCGTCACTGCTGTCGTCTCTGTGGGTACTGGGGAAGGTGCCCTGGGAGTTTTGGGGGGTTCTGTTCCAGCTCGACCACTAACCCGTCACCTGTTATACTCAGACCAGTGCTTCTTGACCTTGTGAGTCATGGACCCCTTTGAAATCCGATGAAAGCTATGGACTTTTTCCCCTGAAAAGTGTACAGAATCACGTCTGCATGTTCAGAGGTTTTCGACCCCTGCAGCCCATCTGTGGACTCCCTGGGTCAGGAACTCGAGGACCAGACACGCCTAGGCCCTTCCCAGCACTGATGCTCTGCCTTTGCCAAAACACCAAATTCCCAGTGACCCAGTAAGAAGGGCTGGGGTGAGGGGGTGGGTGGGACCCACAACCTGAAATAGCCTGGAGAGGAATCCATGAGCCATCCGTGGAATTGCCTCCTCCAGGGCCACACTGCAGGCGTGCTTCTGACCGCTCAGCTGTGAGGCCTGAGTGCTGTGCCCGGCCCTGGGTGCAGGGTGAAGGACCCAGGGGCTAGGAGGATGGGATCTTGGGGGGTGGAGGCAATGTGTCCTGTACTGGCGTGTTGGGGAGAGCAGAGGGGCAGCCCCCTTGCCTGCAGCTTATCCACCTGAGAAATGGAGAGATTCTTTGTCATCTGGAGCTTAATTAAGATCCTGAGACGTGCACAGGGGTGACTTTAGGACTCGGTTTGGAGATTCCTCTGAAGCCAAAGAGGGGAAATCTTGAAGACAGGACCAGTAGCGACCAGCTTCAACTCTGTAGGTCACTTCAGTGCACAGGGCAGAGACCAGAAGGATGGGGGCGTGTGGGAGTTTTGGTCAGAGAGCAGCCCAGGGGACTGTCTAGGGGGGTAAGTATCTGGTTCACTTGCTCTGTGTAGACCTCCAGTGAAGGTCCATTTAGGGGCTGAGTCATCTGGCTGGGTGATGCTCATGCTCATGTGGCCTCTGTGCCCGGATTGTCATTCACACCTTTCATTACCTGGACAACTCTTACTGCTTCTTTGAGATTCTGTTCAGGTTTCCACTCCTGCTGGAAGCCTTCCTGAACCCCCGGGCTGGGCTGAGTGCCTACTTTCTAGGATCTTGCAGTGCCCAGTGCTCACCTCCACCATGGTATTTCCACACGTGATTGAGATGATCTCTGTGTATGACTGATTCCATCACCACCAGAGTTGGGGAGCCCAAGGGCAGGGACCAGTCTTATTCTTTGCTGGGCTTTGCAATTAGTGGACACTTAAGGGAGCTTCACCTAATAGAGACACCTGAGGATAGTGTAGGATCTTTCTATCTAGCACAAGCATGTTTAAGAGATTTTGGGGGGTAAAACCCACATGTCTATGCCCATTTTGACAAGGGTGTCAAGACCATTCATGGAGGAAAAGAACACTCTCTTCAAGAAACGGTGCTGGGACAATTGGATGTCCATATGCAATAGAATGAAGCGGGACGCCTACTTCTCACTAGATACAAAAATTAACTCAAAGCGGATCAACAACCTAAATGTAAGAGCTAAAACCATGAAACTCTTAGATGAAATATAGGGGCAAATCTTCATGACCTTGGGTTTGGCAAAGGGTTCTTAGATATGACACGAAAAGCACAAGCAACAAAAGAGAAAATAGATAAATTGGACTTCATCAAAATTAAAAACTCTGTTCGTCAAAGGACATTATCAGGAAAGTAAAAAGACAACCTGCAGAGTAAGAGAAAATATTTGCAAGTCATATATCTAATAAGGGTCTAGTGTCCGGAACATATAAAGAACTCTTACCACTCAACAATAAAAAGACAAACAGCCCAATTAAAAAATGAGCAAAGGATTTTAATGGCCGTTTATTCAAAGATGACATACAAATGGCTGACAAGCACATGAAAAGATGCTCTACAGAATTAGTCATCAGGGAAATGCAAATCCAAACCACAATGAGGTACCATTTCATACCCACTAGGATGGCTGTAATAAAAAAATAATGGAAAATAAAAAGTGTTGGCAGGGATGTGGAGAAATTAGAACCTTTGTGCATTGCTAGTGGGAATGTAAAATGGTTCAGCCATTGTGGAAAACAGTCAGGCAGTTTCTCATAACGTTAAACATAGGATTGTCATATGACTGAGCAATTCAACTCCTAGGTATAAATATGCAAAAGAATTGAAAACAGGTGCTTAAACAAATATATGTCCGTGCACATTCATAGCAGCACTGTTCACAACAGCCAGAGGTGGACACAGGCTACTGTGGTCTGAAGGTTTGTGTCTCTCCAGTATTTATATGTGAAATCCTAACCCCCAAAGATGATGTGTTAGGAGGTGGGGCCTTTGGGAGGTGCTTAGGTTGTGAGGGTGGGGCCCTCATGGATGGGATTAGTGTTCTAATAAAAGAGACCCTACCGAGCTCCCTAGCCCTTTCCACCATGTGAGGACACAGGGAGAAGGTGCCGGCTGTGAGTCAGGAAGAAGGCCCTCTCCAGATTGTGACCTTGACCTTGGATTCCCAGCTTCCAGAACTGTGAGGAATAAACTTCTGTTGTTTATAAGCTACTAATCTGTGGTATTTGTTACAGCAGCCTGAAAGGACTACGATACAGTGCAAATGTCCTTCAATAAATGAGTGGATAAAAAAAGTTGTGGTATATGCTTTACAAGGGAATATTATTCAGCCATAAAAAGCAATGAAGTATTGATACATGCTACAGTGTGGATGAACCTTGAAAACATTGCACTAAGTGAAAGAAGCCAGTCAAAAGTCACATATTGTATGAGTCCATCCATATGAAATGCCCAGAATAGGTAAATCCATAAAGATTTGGATTTGGTGGGTGCAGGGATTGGGGTGGGGGAGTGGGGCGTGCCGGCTAATGGGTACTGATGACAAGGTTTGGAAGTAGATAGAGGTGGTGTTTGCACAACATTGTGAATGTACTAAATGCCACTGAGTTGTTCACTTTAAAATTTTTTTTTTTTAATTTATTTATTTTTCCCCCAAAGCCCCAAGCGATAGTTGTAAGTCATAGTTGCACATTCTTCCAGTTGTTGTATGTGGGACGCGGCCTCAGCATGGCCGGAGAAGCAGTGCGTCTGTGTGCGCCCGGGATCCGAACCCGGGCAGCCTGCATCGCAGCGCACGCACTTAACCGCTAAGCCACGGGGCCGGCCCGAGTTGTTCACTTTAAGACGGTTAATTTTGAGTTATGTGAATCT